CCGCGCAGCGCCGAACTCGTATTGCCATGCACAGCAATGGCCCTAAAGCCCACGTTTGTTTGTCTCCAGTGCCCCTCTAAGAATGAAAAGCCCAAACAGAATGAAGTGAAGGGTGAGTGAACCCTGGTGCATTTAATTGTGGTGCGGCGGGAGCCTGGAAGCAAGTCGATTGTATCGGATTTTATCCTTGAGTGCTCATCATTAGTGAAGGCAGAAGCTGGTGAAGGTCGTAAATGGAGGGTCTGAGCAGAAAGGTACTGCTTTCGTGTGCCGGCCTTTTGAGCTTGGCAGAGCAGAGGTGGTGCTGGTCCAAGAAGATTCATGTGAATTGTTGCCAGAATTTTAAGACCGCAATCTAGCTTGATGCTATCCAATCAAAGGCCGCCTGGATGGGTAATAGGCTCCTCGAGAGTCGGATAACATTACAATAGAGCGAAGATTGGGTGGCATCGTCGAGTCGGAGGCGTTGAGTCGGATGAAAATGTAGAGCACCGCCTCGGCTCATGAAAAAAAACCCTCACCAGCAATTCACCAGCCTACAGCGAATACCTCGAGCAGAGGTGGTGTTAGTTGCCAAGAAGATGAACGTGAATTGTTGCCAGAATTTTTAAAAACCCGTAATCTAGCTTGATTCTATAAAATGAAAGGCAGTACTATTCGAGCACTACTAGTAGGCTCTTCGTGGATCGGATCATGGTAGCAGCAGGACAATAGAGCGAATATTTAGTCGAGAAGCAGCATCGAGTCGGAGGCGCTGAGTCGGACGAAAAAGGACGAAAGAGAAAATCGAGTGCACCGCCACAGATGTGCGCCTCGGCTCATTTTAAAAAACCCACATCCGTATTTTGTAAACGCGTAAACAACTGAATAAAACACCCAAAAAACCCCATCCAAGCGATATTATGATTAAGTGCTACGCAAATACACGTAGCGTACAAGAAAACACGCCTCCTTAGCCTGAGGCCTCTCCTCCCTTCTCCGCTCTCTACCCCATCCATCTCCATCTAGTACACCAGCAAGCAACTACGCACTCTACCACTCTACCACTCAACTCTAGTAATTAATCTAGAAGTCTCTCCCACGGCCCAAGAAAGTAGCGATATAACAAAAATCGCAGGGCGCCACCGCCCAGATTTCAAGGATGGAGACGGAGGCAGATGTAAAGGGACTGGGAGCCAACTAAGCCCCCGGGCCCGCCCGAATCGCACACCCTCCCTCCGCCGCCGCGCGCCGCATCTCGCGGATGCCGTCGCGGTGCGCGCGCATGGCGAGCACGATGAAGATGTGCCAGATGCCGTGGGAGCCTGTGGGCGGGGCATCAGCATTCATTTCATTCTCAATGTGCTTTCTCCTCGCCGGAGAACGAGGGAAGAGACGAGTAGAAGGAAGAAATGCGACTCACCGCCCCCACACATATCCGACACCCACCCCACCCACCCCCCTCGCCCACCAAGGAAGCGCTCCGGCACCTGCGTCGCGTAGACGACCAGCCCGACGATGTAGTACAGCAGCGAGGGGCCGACGGGGGCTGTAAAGCATCGTTAGCATCAGGGTATGGTTTCCTCCGCGGTGATATAATGGCAGTGATAGTGATTTTGAAGACGAGAAGGGCAAGGGAGGATCGAAGGCGGAGAAGCAGACGAAAAGAGTGGCACGCACCAACAAACCGAATCATCGTGTCCCACCCCTGCAGCGCCGCGATGCCCGCGAGCGGCGCGAGTGCCGAGAAGGAGATGCCCACGAAAAAGGCGAGGCGCCAGAGCTGTGCGGGGTAGCGTCAACGAACGTGCACGCAAATCACATAAACAAGCCAACGCACCCGATTCTCCACCCGATTAAACCAATCACAAAACGGCAGCACGTTCCCCGACACGCCCGCCGCCGCGCACAACAGGAGACACCCCGCGCCGACGGGGTGGTACGCCGGCCACGCCGCGAGGCTGCTCGTTGCGTTGCTCGTTGCCGACATTGCGCTGCTTGTCGCCGATACCATATGCGCCAGCGACGCGTTCAGAGCAGAGGCGAAGTCGAGGACGGGCGCGAAGAAGGACGCGGCGACGTTGAAGAGCGGGCGGAGCGGTGCGACCGAGGAGAGGGAGGAAAGGGAAACCAGGAGCGCGCACAGCGGCGCCGTGAAGCTCGCCAGCGTGTCCGCAAGGACCGACCCACCCTCCACCCCATCCACCCACTTCCCGCCCTCCACAGCAACCTTCTCCGCGCCGTGCAGGAGCGTAGACGGGTGCATGAGCGCCTGCACCACGTCCGCCGCCTTCCCTTGCAGCACCTCGACGGCGCCCGAGTGGAGGAGCATGCTGGGGTGGAGGATGCTGTGTCCCAGAGGCGTCGCGTCGACGGCCTGCTCGGCGCAGGCGTACCCGTGGTGCACGACCGTCGCGATGGAGGTGGCGATGAGCCTGTGGAGCGGAGCGTTAGTTAGCTCATTTGCTCATTCATTCATTCCGCCATCCCTTCCTCTCCTCGAAGTGAGTGGAAGAGGGAGGGAATGCGAGAGGAAGAGGAGGAGATGCGAAGAGCGTCGCACGGCAAGTGAGAAGTAAAACTCACCACCCAATCCCGACATAATCCACCCGCGCACACGCCTCCATCGCCCCGCGGTGCGCACACCCCGCCATCGTGTGCCACAGCGCGCTGCACGCGAGGCACGCGAGCGCGAAGAGCGTGAAGAGGGACTCGGCGGCGTCGGGGGTGGGGGGTTGGGGGCTGGGGGGAGAGGGGGGGTGGGTTAGTTAGGTTATATTGGGGTGGGATAAAAGGAGAAGGAAGGAAGCAGAAGCGAGGAAAAAACGAAAACTCACCCCCAAACACCGTATACCGCGCCCAATCCTCGCCTACCCACTTCCGCGCCCACGCGTCCGGCACCTCGAGCCACGGGGCGAGCGGCTTGAGGAATCTATACGTGTTTTTTTGAAGTTCAGACTGCGCATGTATGGGTATTACAAAAAAAACCACTCACAACGGCACCCCAACCCCCCAAAACGCCGCCCCCCACAACACCATCGGCACGAAATGTGTATGGATATTGAGCGACTCGTTGTGTAGCGAGAAGACGGAGCGCACGAGGGCGGGCCAGCGCGCGAGGGGGATGAATCTGTTGGGGGGTTAGTCCTTTTTTTTGAGAAGGAGGGATAGGGAGGGAGGGAGGGAGGAGAGGGGAAAGGGGCAAGAGTCGCACAAAGACGACATCGCGCGCACCGACGTGTACCGAGCGGACATCAAGCACCCACACGCCAAGGCCGGCGGGGATGCAGAGCAGTACGCCGCCTGTCTCGCTTCACCGCGACACGACTCCGTTTACTCAACGCTCAACGTGCGGCGCGGAAGCGGCGCACACGGCCCTGACGGGGACGCCACCGTGTTCGCCGAGTATGACGCGCGTTCGCGACGCACGTCAGGTCGGGCGGAGGTAATGCGCAAAGAAGGAACGAGATGGGATTGGAAAACAAACGCAACAAAAAAAAAACGCACCGATACCCGCTCACCACCCACGGATTATTGCGCCACTCGAGCGGCAAGTCCTCGTACCCAATCAGCTTTCTCCCGAAATCCGCGCGCAGGAGCGCGTCGGCGGGGGTTGGGCCCGAGTCCTCATCTTCCCCCTCTCCGTCCGCGTGCGCGTGGTCGAGGAGGGACACGGCGGAGAGCGAGGCCGGGAGGTGGGGACGCGGTAGGGAGATGGACGCGGGGAGGGACGGCAGGGACGGCAATTCCGCCAAAAAAGCGTCCACATCCGCGCGGAACGCATCGAGGAGCTCCCTCAACAGCGGCGGAGCGCTAAAGTCAAAGTCAAAGCTCGGGCGGCGGAACTCAAACGTCGGCCGAGCGATAGCGAACTCGAACTCGAAGCACGGGAGTTCGGCGGCGAGATGGGCGTGTAGACTGCGGAGGCGGGCGGAGAGGGTGGGGACGTAGGAGAGCGGGGAGGAGAAGTCGAAGTCAAGGGAGGAGGAGACGAGGCCCTTGACGTTGCTGAGCCGGGACTTTAACTTTTCTTTGAACTCGGGAATTCGAAGTAGTCGAAGTCGAGCAGGTCGAAGTCGAGGGAGAGCGCGGGGGAGAGATCCAGCGAGGGGAGGTCCGGCAGGTGTGAGTGGACATCGGCGCGGATTGAGCGTAGCATGTCTAAGGCAGTGGATGCCCATTCGGCGGATTCAAAGAGAGAAAGACGACGCTCAAGGTCTGCGAGGTAGGAGAGCACGAGGAAGCGCAGAGAAGCTAGAGCCTGAGCAGGAGACGCCGGGGACAAGTCCAGTGCTTCGAGGGACAGAGGGAGCGGGCGGCACGGCGGGAGGCGGGGCGGGGCGGCGCGCAGAGGCGGAGCGGACATCCGGCGACGGCGCAGACGGGGCGGGCGGGCAGTGGGGTCGCTGGCGGGCATGGTGTGGGGGAGATGGTCATTGTTGGGGAATAGGAGGGATCCACAACGTCCCACGTGAAATTTTTTTATGCTGTTTCCTTATTTGTAAACCGCAACTCTCTTCCTCCGTCCACGTTCATCGCGGTGTTTCCTATCGGAGCGCATCCTCCAACGTTCGATACCTCAACATATCAAATGCAGAGCATACTACCAGTCACCCCAAGGGCCAAGACATTCACTGGATCTTACCCGAGACAGGTAGACATGCACATCACAGCCCGACATCCGACCCGGCCGTCCGGAATCTCCTTCACCCTTCCAGTATCGAGTCTTCTCATTCTGGATTAGACTACCCTAGAGTGCCAGGTGCCTGCACGGTCAATTTTAACTTGAAACTCGTTGCTCGGTCGCCGGCTTACTCTTGACGCGCCGGCCGCCACGGATGTCTACCATCGCGCTCGTACGCAACGGGGTGATTCCAGCAACGACTGGCTTACCTCCTGGACTGTTCGGTCGCTTGAATGTCTTCGGGATTTCACTGTCGTTCTGGTCAACTCTGGTCCGACTCCACCGTAATTGTATCTCGTGGTTCCATTTATTCGAGGTCAGTGACACTGTCTATCATGCCTCCGTAGCTCAGCGGTAGATCGCCTCGGCTTCATATGTTGTTATAAATCTAGCTCATACAGAGGAGACGTGGGTTCGAATCCCACCGGAGGTAAGGGCTTCAGTTTTTGTCATGCAACCTTAGAGTTGACCCGTTTTCACTGTTCATCACGCCTCCGTGGATTAGCGGTAAATCACCTCAGCTTTGTGTATTTTCATGGAGATATATATGAGGAGTCGTGGGTTCGAATCCCACCGGAGGCATCATTGTTGATTGTATTGTTTTTTCTCTCGTGGTTTCATTTCTTTATCACAGTGTGCATCACGCCTCCTTGGATTAGCGGTAGATCACCTCAGCTTATTGGTGGTGAAGGATATTATTCTGAGGAGACGTGGGTTCGAATCCCACCAGAGGCATTAGGGGTGCTCAATTCTTAATCCGAACGGGTTCAGTTCGGATTTTAATTCAATATTTGGTCGGACAAATAAAGCTTGACCAAGATTTTGCTTTGCATTTCCTGCTCATTTCCTCTCGGTTCTCTTCCCACCTCCCCGCAAGACCTCTTCGGTCCGTTTTATCTCTGGTTTTGTCGACAAATACGGGGTTGAGGTCGGGAACAAATTGGCTTTGTTTGTTTGGTGCACACAAATATTGAATTAAAATCCGAACTGAACCCGTTCGGATTAAGAATTGAGCACCCCTATTGTCGACTATGAACTGCTTTTGTCCTGTCTTTCTTTCTTTCTTTCAACTTACAATTTTTGAGTCTCATGTATTTCATTGAGGTGTCCATCACGCCTCTGTGGATTAGTGGTAGATCGCCTCAGATTTATAGGTACGTTGCCAAACAGTTATGGGGAGCTGTGGGTTCGAATCCCACCAGAGGTATTTGTGTTGTTTTTTTGGTTATAATCGCGAATCATCTGTTTTTAAAATTGTTTTCCTCTTTATCTCAAGTTCATTTTGTTATACATCAACCCCAAGCAGTCGGAGTTTAGAGTTGGAGGCAACTGAAAAACTACCCATCACACAACTGAACATTGAATACCATCATGCCTCCGTGGATCAGCGGTAGATCGCCCTGGCTAAGTCATCGTGGAGAAATAAGTAAAAATATTGATAGGGAGCCGTGGGTTCGAGCCCCATCGGAGGCATACAGGAGCTTTAAATTTTTTTTCACGTTTCGAGAAATCAACTGAATATTACACCTCGGAGTAAAAATCAATTCCACACCCATCATGCCTCTGTAGATCAGTGGTAGATCGCCCTAGCAGGTTATTACCGACTTGTAATCTTCTTAGCAGGGAGCCGTGGGTTCAAATCCCACTAGAGGCAATACATAGACTTTGTTTCTACTTTTTTTAATGGAGTCCGTGTTGGTTTTTGGTCCCTTCTTTCAAAATTTCTCAATCCCAGTAGTCTATGCCTCTACTTACTAGTACTCATCTTTCAGCCAATAATCCAGTTGCTCAAACAGAGTTTTCCTTTTAAATTTATAGACTACTGCACTGTCTCGTGGTTCTAATTAATTTCAGACTGCAAGGAATGTAAGGGTATGAAGCCTCTGTGGATGAATGGTAAATCACCTCAGCTTTATTCAGGAGTACCACCTGGTAATACTTTCTGAGGAGCAGTGGGTTCGAATCCCACAAGAGGCATTCAGGGCTTGATCAACTTTCTTTCGTGGTTCAATTTTGTCACTCTTTCTACCTCAGATTGTCCCATTCACGGTGTTTGTTTTTCGCGCCTCCGTGGATGAGCGGTAAATTGCCTCAGCTTAAGGATTTTGCAAGATATTGTTGTACTGAGGAGCCGTGGGTTTGAACATCAAAATTCTTGTCAACATTTTTTGTCCCTTCCTCAATTTTTCAGAATCCCATTCAACCACTCTGTACCTCTACAGTACCTGGCTTCCAACTTCCGATGTCAATGTGATATAGAACTCAACCAATAATCTAGATACAGGTTCCCAACACTACTTTGGTTCCATCAAGTCCTGCTCCTGCTGGGCTGTCTCATGCCTCCAATTAATTTTCACACCAGTTAGGTTACGAGGAATATAAGAGTGTCAAGCCTCTGTGAATCACGGTGGATCACTCCTGAATCATAGCAATAGTTTGTCATAAATTTAAGGCTAGCTGTGGGTTCGACTCCCACTGGAGGCATGGGAATGCGGAAAACAAGTTGGTTTTTTGTCCCTTCTCTCAATTTTTCAGAATCTTATCCAACCATTCCATGCCTCTGCTCATCTTTAGCCAAATGAGCCGGATGCTCAACAATGGCCTCGTTTTCATCTGTCTCATGGTTCTAATTAAATTTCAGATACTAGTTAGGCTACGGGGATGTAAGGGAATCAAGCCTCTGTGGATTATGATGGATCACCTCGGAAATTTTATAAATCTGTGAATAAATATCCGAGGAGCAGTGGGTTCAAATCCCACCAGAGGCATAGCATGTGGTAATGATTTCTTTTTTTGTTCCTTCTTTCAATTTTTCTAAATCTCAGTAGTCTGCGCCTCCACTAGTACTCATCTTTCAACAGATATCCAACTGCTTAGACTCAAACAGGCTTTTGCTTTTAAATTTATAGAGACGTGACCTGCACTGTCTTATGCCTCTAATTAATTTTCAGATACTGTGTAGTGGTGTCTTTTTGTTCCTTCTTTTAATTAATTTTCAGAATCTCAGTCAACTATTAATAGTCTGTGCCTCTTAGGTAGTACTACTAGTCTGTCTATGTCCATAGAATTCAACTGAATTCAGTTGCCCGACTATTGAATGGACTTTGATTTTGTCGAGACCTGCTCCCTACTCCTGCCCAGCTGTCTCGTGGTTCCAATTAATTTTCAGACACTAGTTAAGCTACGAGGAATATATGGGTAATGAGCCTCTGTGGATCATGGTGGATCAGCCTTAAATTATAGGACTTGTATCATGATGCATGGGTGGCTGTGGGTTCAATTCCCACCAGAGGCATAGGTATATCAAACATATCAAACTGGTTTCTTTTTGTTCCTTCTTTCAATTTTTCTGGATCTCAGTGTGGCTTTTATGTTGATGCAAAATTCAATAGATAATGTGAACTCAGATTCCCAACACCATGATGCACTTCCATCGCGACCTACTCCTGCTGTGCTGTCTTTTCGAATTCCTAGTTAGAAGGGGATCAAGTCTCTGTAGATCAAGGTAGATCTCATCAGAAACATAGCAGTGTATATGCATAGATGTATGAGGAGCAGTTTACCACCAGAAGCACATTCATAACTACAGAGAATACCAAATAAACCGAGTCATCTCAAATCACTTCAGTCAAAGCTCATTAGAATTTACTTCAACAAATATATTCAGACACAATTAAAACACACTCAAGGTCAAATATGCATGTTAACAAATCCATAGTAGGATCTCTCCTTGAATTCGTCTGATATCGCAAGGTGTTGAACCGTGGGAATCGGCAGGGAAGTGCCGTCGGTCGGTTAAATTCCTTTGGTGACCATGTTGCATGCATATTCGAGCTCAATCAGATATAAAGCCAATGAAATATGTCACCCTGGGCTTAAAGTATTACCAGTTCCGAGCTTTCAGCTCTGGAACTTCCCACTTCTGATATCAAGGAAGGCCCGAATAAATAGCATCTCGTCCAGCGCCCAAGATGTAGAGTTTACTGCACCCTGTCAAGCCAAGACCCTACACAATTCCCTCACCTTCAGAGTTTGATTCAAATGTGGGAGCTTTAGTAAGTATTTTATGACCAGCAGGACACCGCCGCGCAAAATAGTGCACCAATTTAAGAGCCAGGTGCCAGCCCTCAGAATCCAGGCATCCCATTTTTGAATTTTGCGTACTGGAGTCAGAGGATTATGTTTTGCTTGGAGACAAAAAAAAAGAGGTCTTCGATTGTTGCCCACGACAGCACAAATTGGCCCTATACAGGTTGTAGGGCCAAATATTCGTCAGGCTGAATTTACTGATCTGAATGAGACTGTTACGTATGTAAACCCACTCATCGAGAGAATATTTCTCTAGCCCACGATGTTGCCAGTGAACGGAGATAGAACCGGCTCGATGCGACCTTCGTCAGAGCACTTATGAATCGAAGCACCTGAATATTCGACATCTCGCCGGAATTATTTGAGGTCAAACTCTCGCACACCCGGTACTCAACGAGCCCATTGAGCCATTAATGTGTGAAAAAGAAAGGGTAGCAGGGAGTACAGGCCCGATTATCCGTGACAACTTTGCATCGCATTTTGTGAAACTAAATTCTAAAGTCAAAACAAAATTTCCGGCTCCGCTCCATTCCCCTGCAAATCTTCGAGAGTGCGGAAAAGCCTGAGCTCGGGAAGCGACTGTCCACGCTGGCGCTTCGAATCCACCGCGTCCTCAAGGGCGTCCCGCACGCCGTCAAACGTAGCCTCCTTCGGACACAGTGTGAGGGTTTTAAGCTGCGGCCACGGCTGCGAAGACAGGCCGAGAATGTCGTTGATGAACTCTCGCGTGAAGCATTGTTTGCCCAACGTTAGCGAAGAGAGGGCGGGGAAGAGTGTGAGCGGGGGAGAGGAGATTGTGTTCAAGAAGGGGACATTGCGTTCACAAGTACACGAGTCTCCGTTGATGAAGGAGAAGGAGGTTAAGGCGGGGAACGAAGCGTGAGGGAAAGTCGTGGTATTGAATAGCACAAAGATTTGGTCGCCGTGGGTACCGTCGATGATGAATTTGGTCAACGCGGGGGTGTCGAAAAGATCGACCAATTTCAACAGATAAAACTCGGTTTCGCTACCCGAGACCAAGATGTGGAGGAATTCCAGATTAGGAAGGTGAAACCGGCGAGCCGCTGTGGAAGGGGTCTGTCTCATGTCGAGGTGTAGATGAACCAACAACGGGCATTGTGTCGTGATCGCGACAAGAAAGCCGTTATTAATCCAGTCGTCCGAGTCGTAACCTCCCAATATTTCCAGATGCGTAAGAAATGCCATCCACTGACTCGCCGCCTGCACGTCAAGTCTAATGCCATTCATTTTGAGAAAGTTTAACCTCGGGGCTCCTGACGAGAACATTTCAACGGTGATCCGATAATCATCGTAGTCGATTTCGTTTGTGATATCGAGGTGCTGTAAATTGGGAGCTGCCACATCGCGGAAGCAGGCCAGCACTTCTCCCCCCCACTCCGTGCGGAACACGATCCTCAACCTCCATATGCGATCCATGTGTGGGACAATCTGGCCGAACCGCTCTGCGAGCAGCTCATAGTAATAGGCGATGCCCTTGTCGGATCCGCGTAAGGTTGCCGATATGAGACATGCTCTGGAACGCTCCATGTAAAGTTTGAGGATTTCGTCCGATCCCTCGACATCACAGCTGACGTCGACGAGCGTCCAGAGCTCGGGGGATCCGACAACAACGTGGCGAAAGCGGCGGGAAACATGGGACAATACCCATTCTGATTTAAAATCTGTGGCGTCTGAATCTGCGGCGCGACCCTCTTGTCCCGCAACAGCAATGGCTACCAGAAGCTCGTTTGGAAAAGAAGATATTGTGAGTGTGGATTGAGCGCCAGCCATACAAGGAGGAGAGAAATTCCAAGTGGAGGTTATGGCAGTGTAAAACGTCTTGCACAGCCACTCTGTCAAACTCAGGAAAATCCAAACCACGTCAATCTCAAAAATCTGCCAACGGACAAAATGTTCGTACAATAATAATACATGTAGCAATAACAATGATACCAACCCGGCCGCCACGCGCCATCTGCATCTCACATGCACGCAGCATGCGCGGAAAGGAAGAGAGCAGACGCGCACGCACGCCGCGGCTCCGCTGCATCTGGTCACCACGAAACCATCGCAGACATAGTCCAGGGTCCAGCTATGGTCGGACTCTACTTAAAAGTCCCTTCCTCTATTCCTCTCTACTTGTGTTCTCTCCAGCATATTCGCACAACTCCCCCAACTGTTTCGCCATGCGAGGAAAAAGAAGAAGAACAAGGCAATTACGCAAAGCAGGTTCCGAACCATCATCATGGTCGGAATTCCCACGCCACGAGCGCAAGGTCAGGACGGCTCGGGGGTCGATGAAGCACAGACCGAGGTCTGAGCGGAGACAGCCCCGACCTCCTGAGGTTGCATCGCACCAGCCCTCCCGTCGGTCGACCCGATGAGCCGCTATCATGCGACAACGCCGACAAAAAACTCTCACACGCCACGTAGTGTGGGAACACTGTTCCCATGCCACGTCAACGCTGTCCCTCTTCCCCTCACCTCGACGAGGCTCTGCGTCGCCACCATCGCGCCGGTCGCGACATCCGACGATGGAACTCCCTGCCCTCGGTGCCTCTCTACCTGCATCTCTTTGTCACCCACCTGCTACAGTCAGCACAAAGCCAGAAAAACACGGCTTTTTTGAGACAATTTCGCTCTTTGTACGCACCAGTCCGACTCAAACCCCTCGAAGTGCCGCAAAATTCTTGGCAGACGCCTCGGCTGGACCCTCGGCTCTTCCTCACAATGGTATCTTGGGTAAATGGTGACCATCCATCGATAATGCGTCATTCTAACCCGTACCTCGAGGCCTTCTGCACCGACAATTTGGCCTCTTTGTCCATGATAACTTTTAATCCCAACGCTCGATGCTGTAGCATCACTCAGCTCATCCACCTCTCTGGACACTTGCATTGAACACCGCACACACAGTATGGCCATTACCCGCAGCTCCATCCCCCGCGACGCGTCCCCCACCCCGTCCGACAATAGCGACATGTATTACGAAGAAGAGCAAGTCTTCTACGATGAGGACGAGTATGCGCAATCCGTGCGCTCCGCAGCCAGCGACCGCGACGTCACCCCGACACCGGCGCCCACCCGCGGCACCTCCCCTGCCTCCGTAGTGGAACTCGACCCCAAGGACTTCCCCACTCCCACCACTCCCACCCAGGCGGGCAAAGCCGGGCGCAAGCCCGGTGCGAAGAAAGGGAAAGGCCGTGCCGGTAAGTCCTCAGGCATGCACCTGTACACAACTGATTCCCACCCCAGCCAACCCCGAGCCCACCACCGACGACGGGCCAGCCACCGATACCGTCGACGCCGACGCCAACGACCCCTTCTTGGCCGCCGACATCGCACTGGCCACCGCCGCATCCCTCGGCCTCCCCACCGCACTTGACCATGCGTCTGAGGGCGCTTCCAGCTCGCGCCGCCCCGCGTCCGCCGCTGGATCCCCCGCCAAGCGTGTCCGCGCCAACACTGCGGGCGATGTGGCCCCGCCCCCCTTCGCCGCTGGTGCACGCACCTCGCTCGCGTCCACGGCAACTCCCGTCCCCATCCAGAACGGCGCCTCGCCGTTCCTTGCACCCGTGACCGCCACTGTCGTCGCGCCGCCTGCTGCAGCAGGCCCCCAGCCCCCCGCCCTCCAGAACACTGCCGCCGCTGCCGCCCTGCCCGGCGCTGCTCAATATGC